CACGCGCACATTTTCCGAAAGCTCCACAAACGCAATCTGCCACAAAGCCTCAAATCATCAGCAACGCAATCACGACTGACTTGCAACACGGTTACAGTATTATGTGGTTCAATAGTCAATACATAGTGCCGTGTGACCAGTCCTTGAAGACCGTAGCTTCAGGCAGAGCGCCACTGCATGCTGAAAGGCAAGTCACAGCCTCTTTCGGTTGCGGCACTTGCAGCCGGAGTTCGGCTGTGATCTCAAAAAGCAGCCGTGCCCACCAAACCGGTGGAGACCTCTCTGACTCTTCCTCACACACTGGATTGGCATCATCTCCTAGATGGCTCACCATATCATCTGAGGAAGCTTGACTGAGCACAATCTCATCGGCTACCGCTGCCCAGCTTCCCAGCCAATCCATGGCATCAGGTGTCCCTGGAGTCGTCATCACTGCTTAGGCTCAGTATCAGAGACAACACGACGGCGCCACCAAAGTCTGGAGGACACAACAGCAGCAAGGCAACTTTGTGATAACTACAACACATGAGCACACTGAACACTGGCTAGACTCCTAGGTCCTAGACATGACTACACAGAGCAATGATCACAAATGTGCATCTCGTACACGAAATCAATCCCGGGCTTCATGAGGTCCTCCGAGCTGCAAACCAAACAAAGCTGGGCAGCGACGGGTGCAGCCTTTAATTCTGATACTGGGTAACAATACCGGCACAGGTGATTGAGAGTTGTTAGCCATCAGCTGCATTATCTCAGTATCTCGCAGGATGTCAGCCGTTGTGTTTTGTCTGCTGTGCGAAGTCATGCTCTCACTTTGGGCCGTGAAGACCCGGGCACCAAAGCCACGAATCCCCCCAACCGCAACACTTTTCGCGTGGATGTCTCCAGAGATTTCCTACACTCCAAGGCCACACGTGAGCATGATGTCGCGAAGAGCTAGAGTCAGCCAGAGTCAGGGCGAGGCATCGGATCTCTTGGCCAACACGAGACATGAGAACCTAGATTCCAGACTGCGAGTTCTGTGGTTTTCGGTTCATTCATCTTACCATGATTGAGGTGGAGGAATGCTTGTCCTGCAGGCTGCTCGTCTCTCAGGAAGCCAACCTCACTGTCAGCGCATTCGTCGATCAGCCATCCCCACGGCCTGTGATGCGGAGGGTGGTCTGTTCTCCAAGCATAAAACCAACACCATGTGGCCCACCTCGATGCTTTCTGCCACCAGAGCTCGCCGCTTGACCTCGGGATAGGAGAGGTCAGGAAATCGAGCACCAAAGGAACCAGTGCTAGCCGGCTAGCCAACACTACCTTAGCCTTAGCCGCTAGCCTTAGCGGCTCGCGACAGCTGAAGTCCAAGGTTCGGGCAACCGGCAATGATGAGGAAACGACCTCCTGGCAGGTAAGAAAACTCGCTTCTGCAGGAGCTGACCAGACGGAATAGCAAAATTTACCCGCATTTAGCCGTGATCCGATATGTCAGCACCACCACGACAAACTCCAAAAGCCAGGCCTCTCTGCGTCCGCACTCACATTCAAGTCGAAGCTGCAGCCGAGTCGATGGCACCTGGAGCCAGACTAGGGGGCTGGGGCTCGTGGGTCTGGAGTCTAGATTGCGAGTGGGGACGGGAAGCAGAAGCAGGCCCTCACACTCACAGACACAACAACCCCAAAGCCACAGAAAAACCCCAAATCCAAGTCCGAAAACCCCCAATCGAAACCCTTCTGAGGATCGCCGCCGCCACAGCACAGGCATACCTCGGACGAGGCTCGGGACCGGCAGGTGAGAAAAACCAGTTTTGCGGGAGCTGACCAGATGGATTAGCAAAACTTAGCCGTGATCCAATGAAGGTCGATATCCAACAGAATCCAACAGCACCACCACGATCAATGCAAAACACAAACTCCGAGCGCCAGGCATCTCTGCATCCGCGAAGTCGCCGCTGCAGCCGAGTCGATGACCTGGAGCCAGACCGCAGGGCCGGTGCTCTCGGACGGGTGGGTCTAGATTACGATCGGGGACGGGAAGCAGAAGCAGGCCCTCACTCACAGACCAAAAAACACCAAATTCAAATCCGAAAACCCCCAACCGAAACCCTTCTGAGGATCCCTGCCGCCACCGCCAGAGCACAGGACAGGTATTACCTCGGCCGAGGATCGGGACCAAACGACATGAGTGCAAAAATGAAACGGCTCCAATGCACAACCACTGCACTCCGATCTACACCGAAACTGTAAAACCCCAAACCGCACCCTTGCTCAAACTGAGGTTCCAGCATGTGTCAACTCCAACGCCAAAAGGTCCTGCAAAGGCAAAGTCAGACAATGAATGCACCAGGAAGAACAAACTAAGTAGAAACTAGAAACAAAGCGCCGAAGAAGAACAAGCAGCAAGCATGCAACCCTGCGTGCAGCATGCGATGCGGGCAAAAGCACTCCCACGGTCCTACACTCGGGGCCGAAGGGGTTTGGGTGCCCTGAAACCTAATGTCGGGACAATTGGGCTGAGGTTGGGATCGGGATAACCACGAAGCTCTCTTTCAGTGATTTTGCAGCACAACAGAGGTCGCCCAGCTTGTCGTAAGGGCTACGGCTACAGCTGATGATAGCCAACGATGGCCGCTGGCCGATTGGGAGTACTCACTTCATCGTCTTCATGGCCCCATGGCCTTCATCGACTTCATCAGCTTTGGCCCAGGTTAAAAAAGCCGCCCATAGCCATAGCCAATGGCTCATACGCCGATAGGTCCGATAGGTACTCACTTCATCGTCTTCATGGCCTTCATCGACTTCATCGCCTTTGGCCCAGGCTTGCCATGGTTGCCACACTTGTTGCTCATGGCCTTCATCGACTTCATCGCCTTTGGCCCAGGCTTGCCATGGTTGCCACGCTTGCTCATGGCCTTCATCGACTTCATCGCCTTTGGCTTTGGCCCAGGCTTGCCATGGTTGCCACGCTTGCTCATGGCCTTCATCGACTTCATCGCCTTTGTCTTAGCCATGGCCTTCATAGGCTTGGGAACCTTTTTCGCGTGGCCTTTGACTATGTCCTCGAGCTTCGGCTGCTCATAGGGCTGTGACGTGAACACAAGGTATGTGTTCAGCCATCTGAAGCCCTCGCGCTCTTCCTGTGCCACGATCTGCACAATGTCGAGGGGCAACTTCACCGATGTCTCGCACTGCACAAGCCCATCGCGGACGATCTCCACATTCATTTCGGTCATGCTTCCCTTACCTACTTTGCTCTATCGGAGCCCTATCGGATAGGCCCTATCGGCCCTATCGACCAGAGGCTACAAGCCTTGGGAACCTGATTCTGGAATGTGCTTGCCACTATGCTGCTATGCCGCTCTGCTGCTATGCCGTCATGTATGCTGCTATGCTGCCCGAGGACTTCAAAAGTGCCACAGCAAACTTCGTGATCCAAAAGCACTGCGGCAATCCGAAAAATCACTCACGATCATGCTGAAAACCAAACGAACTGGATCTGCGCGACGACGGTCCTGCAGCTCCAGCTCGCCTCTGGATGTCCATGGCTGCAGCTACCTTGGAGACCTGATGCGGGTATGGGTACTACCAGGGATGTGAATAAGTCCGTCAGTCGGCTTTTCAAGGGTATGCCATGCCATGCGCAATGCCGCTATGCCGCTATGCTGCTATGCTGCTATGCTGCATCTGCAGGGTCCCTCTATAAGCTGTCTTGGTGCCCTACCGTGTCGTTGTGATTTGACCCGCTGCTCAGCGAGGCGCATGCGAAAGTGAACAGAAAAGCACAGCGGATCCCGACAATTTCCAACCAAGCCACTTCGAAGGAAGAACAGCAAAACACTCAGAATGCACTACTGGTCGAAATTGATCTAGCTTGCTATACACTCCTTAAATGCGCAGACTCAAGGCCGACATCGAAGGATCAAGAGCAAGACGCTGTGCTCTGCCGTTTCGAACCTGATACCTCTACCTGCATAATACAAAGAAGATAAATCAAACACACAAACAATGGCGACATGCTAAATCGGTGGTAAATGTTGCATGCCTGATGATTGGAAAGGCCGAGAAGTAGACGTATGTATTTATATGTGTATGTATATTTATCTATACATGTGTAAACAAAAATAATGAATAATGTATCTACCTAAGAATAATGAATAATGTATCTTTTCAATTCTATGTACACACACATACGTTTCTGTAGTTATATAGATATGGGTTTTTTGTGCGTCCATATCTATGCACGTATATGTGTATACCTGACAAATCGCATGTGTAGAAAGAGCCACACAGTGTGGTTCTTGCCTTTTTCTTTTTTCTCTCATTCTCTCCGTTCCGCTGTTCTCCCGCAAATCTGAAGTGTTGTTCAATTGTTCAAATTTGGGAATTTGTTTCAAAAGGTGTTCGTGTTGCATTTGTTTTCAGCATGTAACGTATTTAATCCAAAATAGGTTTCCGTATTTTGACACAATTCCCACAACCTGTCGTAATTTGTACAACTTACTTTCATATGTCATATTTCCCATATGTTTTCCTTTTGTTTCAGTAAGTTTTCGCTATTTTAACCTTGTTCCAGCCAGTCCTTCCAATCGTTTCATAGCTTTTTGTTCATTTTATGATATGATTTCATACGTTTTGATATTTTCTAATATTCTAATATGTGTTTACATAATTTTCATATTGAAAATGTATTTACACAGTATTTCTCATACTTATTTGCATACTCGCATCACATTTTTCATATTTTCGACCATATTTTTTCATATTTTGTTTCATATTTTTTTCATATTTTTTTCATATTTTTTTCATATTGTTTTCATATTGTTTTCATATCCAATTTTCAACCCATATTGTTTTCATATTTGCACTTCATATTTTTTCCATATTGTTTTCATAAAAAAAATAATTTTACAGGATGATATTTTTGCAAGCTTCGAAACTCTCAACCCTATCAGCGTTTTTCAGACCCTTACCGACACCCTCCGCAAGCTCTACCAAAACAGCTCGTCTACACGGTATTACAACCTCAGTTTAAAACAGGGTAGCAACACTCTCTTCTCCAATAACCAGGCCCCAAACAAGTTCAGACTTTGTAAGATAGACCAACTACATAAAGCAAAAAAGTTTAAAGTTCTCCAATTGGCTAAGTAAGAACATAACAACACGGAACCCCACAGCTTCTTGCCTCCGGACTGGTAGAGCCCCTTTATCTGGTTTTCGTCTGCAGCGACGGCGAACATCTGAAAGTCCGACATCACGCCCCAGGCTTCCTTCTTCGTGGCTTCGTCACTGTAGTACTTCTTTTTTTGACACGCTTGTGATTACAAGAGCCTGGTGATGAGGGCTGTTGCCTTAGTGTCTTTCTATTGACTTAGGGTTTGGGGGCAACTAGAACCTCAGTCTTGGGCTTGTTGCATACTTATTCGATAGGTTTAGGGTTGAGTTGAGGGCTTCTTCGGTATATGCTTTTTCACATTGTTCAACCGGGTCTGCTTGGGAGACCCGCAACATTGTCTTTTTACTTTGCCATTTCAGGGATCCAAGTTCGGAAAAAAACTCTAAAGGGCTCGCATTTTGAAGTTCTAGAAAATGCAGTAGCCCCTTGTACACAGAAGAAGGGCGCCCGTTTCAGGGCTTGGCTAGTCAATAGGAAGCATCCTAGATGGTTCTCAGGGGAACATACCAGTCTAGGTCCACTGCTCAGTGCTGAAATCTTCACAAGCTCACGGACTACAACATGGTTAAGGCTTGGGCTTAGGGGCTCAGCACCCTAGCCCGTGAACCTTGTAAATTGCAATTATGGTAGGATTGTATGAACCCCCAAAGGTAAAAGTTACCCACTCAGCTACTAAGTAGGGGTCGTCGGTTTTTAGGTATACGATGCAAAGAAGTCCATTATGCCATGCCTAGTAAGGAACCCAAAAAACAAGGTCATTATGAATAAGTGCCCCTATAGTATACTGTGCAAGGAATTGTGAAAGAGTCAGGTTTTGCCCAGCAGCTCTGCAGCCGCGGCTGTTCCCCACCACGCCGATGGTCCCTCGTGCCTGGCCGGCTGTAACTGCTCGAATTTAGGCCGTAATATAGGGGCCTTAACATTAGAATAGGATGTAGGGGCCCATTATACTATACTGGGTTGTGCTTTAAACCCTTTGAAAATTATTGATGAATAGGTTCCCTTTATAAGGAAATAGGGGAAATTAAAATATGTCCCAAAGCACAACCCTTTTTTTTTATATGTAATCCCTATAGTATAGGGTTTAGGGCGTTTAGGGCTTGGGGCTTGGCGCTAAGGTTCAGGGTTAGGGTCTAGGGTTTCGGGTGTCGTCTGCCGGGTGCGTTTGTGCTTGGTTCATCTGGGCTTCACGCTGCGGCCTCAGTGAGAGGTGGAGGCAAACTTCTACATTCTAGGAACTTCCTATTTGCTGAACTTGCCAGCAAAAGTTGACGGGCATGTAGATCCATCGAAACATGCCTAAACCCTCCTTTCGATGGAGTTCTAGGAGTGCTTCTTTAAGGGCGTAGGGTTGAGATTCCTGAAACCTTATCCCCTAAAGCCTTGAATTCAATATAAGCCAAAGACCTAAACCCTAACCTGGAAATTAAGACCACATCGCAAACACCACGCCCTGGCCTGCGACCGCTTCGAACCGATCCTCAAGCCGTCGACGTAGTACCTTGGTGGGGGTCCTAGAACGCTTCTGTTGCGAGCGCTTGGGTTCTTTGAGGTGCTTATGTATAGATTCTATATGGGCTATGGTTTGGAGATTTAAGGGTTGGAGGGTGTAACATAGGGGCGTTATATTAATTTTAATAGGGTTTTGGGGCGCATTATACTGTAATTATGAAAAGGACCCCCCGCAATAGCATAGGTACTTATTAAGGCCGCTATCTTTTGGGGTTTCCGGTAAGGCTTCGGCTAGGGGGTTTCGGATTTTTCGTTTGAAGACTTGGGTTGGGAGCGTTGGGCGTTGAGGTGCAAGTCATCGAAAGACGCGAAGTAAGACCAAGAGACTCCAAAACCTGTTCCGTGGACCCCAAAAGTATGTAGAATCATAATATTTTGTTGGTTTTGGGCCATTATTTTACTTACTCTTGGGGGTCTAGGTAGTAATGTGACATCCCCTAAGGTCCATGTGCCCAACTACTATATACATTGGCCCCAAAGTACATATGGGTGGTTGTCAAAAATTATGGTCCCTGTTTGGATCCCTAATTTAGTACGGCACCTCATATTTAGGGTACCCAAAAAGGGACCCTAATTTTGACAACCACCCATATAGAGGGACTGCTTTGAGATTGGGGCACATGGACCTTTAGGGACCTCTTGTGAGAAGGAGCCCTACCCGCATCTACGGGAAGGTGCCCTGCTCGTAAGGAAGTCAGAACATTAGGGTTTCGGATCGGTTACGAGGCTTCAGTTCAAGATGAGCTTTTTATTACTGAGTACGTGTATAGGTTCTGATATTCTAAGATTATATCAGGAGAAGCCCTGCTCCTCCTCCTCCTCCTACTACTACTACTACTACGACTACTACTGATCACCATGAAAAACCTTGAAGGCCCCATCGCTCAGGGTAAGGGTTCGAGATCTGGGCTTCGGCTTGCAGACTTGATGGTTGGGTGCCACTTCCCGCGACTGCTGAATATTTTCACTAGCGTCTGGGCCGGGTGCAGATCAAGGTATAAGTCAACAAGGACTGCAAAGGTACCATAGAGTCACATTTCTGTGGTGTTGCCAATTCATCCAGCCCGGTTTCGGGCTGAGGGGCTGTAGGCGAGCGGCATGCGGGATGCAGAAGCAAACATGAAAAGTGTAAAGCAGTCAAACCTGGGCTTCGGACTGTGAGAGTGTGCATGTACCATAATAAACAGGTTACATTCTCATATAATGAGATACCTAAACATGTACCAGCATGAAGCACTCACAAAATCATGATCGAGGTGCATCCAGTAGTCTGGCATCAGTGGATAGCAGGAACTGGGTATGTATTTGTGGGCAAGTTGCGAGGTCCGCCGGCTGCGGCCCACGACAGCGATGTGATGCCAGCCGTCGGCTAACTCACGGGCGTTGAAGCCCTCCACGAAGGAGTTGCTGTTGTAGTTCCTGTTCAAGATGGTGGCTGAAACTGTAGGGTAGACCCATTTTTCGTGCAATTTTCAGAACTACACGTGCAACCCATATTGAGACCCCTGGCGTTGTTTGCAATTCTAGTTCATGCTCATCGCCCTCGGGAGCTTTTCGCCGGGCAAGGAACATGTGAGTGCCCCGCCCATGACAACGACAATCAGCATGATGAGAACACCTTCCGCCGGTTTTACAACCCCCATTCCCTACAGGCTTTATGTGGGATTCTTGAATGTGGGTCCTTGAAGGGGAGAAGCCCTGCATGCTCTAACACTAGTAAAAACACCTAAACTGACCTACAACCTACACCAACGGCCCTGCCTGGAACCCAAGAGTGCGCAGAACAGTGACCGTTCAATCGTTTGCCCATTGTGTTACCTACTTTCGGGCTCTAGGTACACCACAACTCCAAAAAACCTAAACCTAAGCCCAAACCCTACAAACCCTAAGCCCTATAAACCCTATACACCCTACAGACCCTAAACCCTATAAAACCCTATAAACCCTCCTTCCACCATCCGGCTGAAAGGCGGCCAAGGGTCCCAAGTCGTCCTCGGGCGAGAATCACGGCAATGAGCTCTTGCGAGTTCGGTGAATCTGACCAGCACAATGAGAGCTTTTGAGGTTTAGGGCACAATAGAGACTTGCTCCACTAACCTCACCGTTGCTTAGTAGGGAATGGAGGAATGCGGTACAATTATAACTACTATTACTACCGTTCTTCCATTCCCTACTACCCAAAGGTAAGTAACTGTTGTAAATGAAGTAGGAACAGTCGAGAGACTGTGTGACACGAGGTTTGGGGAGTACAGGGGTCTTTAGACTTAGAATAGGGGCTCCTGTAGCAGCTAACGGTTCAATCAGGGGTTTCTAGGATTATCGTTTAAGGGCATTAAATATTGCAAGAGGGTTTCGGGGTGTACCAGACTGAAATCATAGTGAGGAACCCGAAGGGATACTGGTGGTAAGCATGTCGACCCCTACTTGTAAGGCTTGAGAGATGTTTACAGGTTCGTTCATAAGGTTTCTATAGGGTTTGGCAATCTGACCAGCGCACTGAGGCTTGGAGGCTCCAGGCAGTATGGGAGTTTCCGAAAATAGGGGACCCTAATATGGTACCCTAAATAGTAGGATCCTCATTATAAGGACCCCAAAGTAAGGTACCCCTAATTTTCGGAAACTCCCGTATGGGTGTCTGGCTTAGGGTTTAGCATTCAGGCTGGCATTCAGGGCTTCGAGTGCATGATCTGACCAGGAGCAAGAGGGCTTCTGCGGACTCGGCGTTCGAACGGTTTAGGGTTCAGGGTTTATAGGGTTTAGGGCCGGGTTTGAGGCGTTGGTGATCTTCGGAGTTCATAGGAGGTCGCGGGGGCTACTATACCAAGGCCTAGGAATTTCGGATCTCCTTCAGAGTTCTTGTGGGCAAGGTCCTTAGTGGAGATTCGCCTGGCAGCAAGGGCTAGACCCTAAACCCTAAACCCCTGAACCCTTAACCCTAAACCCCCAAACCCTAAACCCCTGAACCCTTAACCCTAAACCCCGAAACCCTTAACCCTAAACCCCTAAACCCTTAACCCTAAAACCCTAAACCCTAAAACCCTAAACCCTAAAACCCTAAACCCCTGAACCCTAAACCCCAAAACTACCAGCATGCTTCGGGCTCAGGGTATGCCTATCCCAGACCCTGAACCCTCGACTTCCCCAAGCCGTAAAGTTAAACCCCTAGTTGGAGGGTCGGGGGACTTAGTAACTGGTTATTTTAGGGACTTATAAGTACCATAACCCCAATTAGGGTCCCTTTTTAGGGTACTTATAAGTCTACTTACTACCTACTTGCTAAGTCCCCGGACCCTCCACGTACCTACCAGGACCCCCCAATGGCCCTGTAATGGAACCCTTATGGTCCCTAAAAGTGGGCATGTAGGGTATAGTAGAGGGTAGTTGGGGGGACTAGGTACACAGTCTCCGTTGTAGTTCCGTTTTTGGGTTATGATAGACAGATGGAATATAACTCTAAAAAAGGAACCTCCGGCCATGCACCCATATACTAGGCCTTAGACGGGCCTCTTTTTGGATCCAGGAACCAGAAGCAACACATGGAGCAATAGGGACAGGTAGACCCTCCTCCCATTTGGACTAAACCATTCCAAGCCTAACATAAGGAGGGGCCTTAATGATCAGAATAAGGCTTTTGGGGCCCATTACACTATAATCAAGATAATAGTTCATAAGAAACCCCCCAAGAATGTTATAGGTGATTGACCAGGCCCCTGTACCATAGAACCCCTACTATAGATCCCTATAGACCCCTTTAAGGAACGCTTCAAGGATTATAATAAGGCCCCCACACTAAGCCCCACAAGGGGCAACCCCCGAGGCGCCTATGAGATCCCGATAAGTTCGCGCGGCCACGTCGATGGGCGCCAGAGTCCACACAGAGATCGTCCACTCCTCAGTGGGGGTTTTTGGGGGCTTGTGGCCTTTGTGGGTTTAGGGTTTTTCGGGGTTCAGGCGTTTAGGGTTTTGCATACACCCTTCCTTCTAACAGCCCTGATATGTCCCGGAGCCACGGAAAAGTGCAATTGCAGCAGCAGCAGCAGCAGCAGCAGCGGATCCCTATAGGGATCTAAGGACTCATATATTAAGGCCTTTGGGCCCAAAGACCATACTACATGAGGCTTTTGTGCTATTTTGATCCCGAGGGGATTGGCAATTCATGCACGCGCTGCGCCATTTCTCATCAGCCCCATTTGCTCTGAGTCTCCGATCCAAGCTGCACAGCCTGTGGAAGGAGCAAGCAGCCACGTCCTTCATGATGCATGTATATAGGTCTTGTTCGTTTTTGAGCTTAGGGGCTTAGGTGGGTTTAACAATTTTAGTCTTTTTACGAGGCATCGAAGTTTAATTTGGTGGTTACGTAGTTTACCGATTCGGCTTTTGGGACTCAAGCGAACACGGCAGAAGCATCATGGAGGCATCACCTGTTTGCCTCCTGAGCTTGTGTAGATTAAGCGACTGCTGTTGTTATTGCAACGTCTTATCTAGACCCCAACAGTAGGTAATACTGGCCCAAAACCTATCGAAGGCTGTTATTCTACATACTTTTGGGGTCCAGGTACCCTAAACCCTCAATCCTAAACCTTAAGCCCTAAACCCTGTAGGCCACAGCTGTGGAGGGATACAGGATCCTCCACAAACAAACTTGGCTCCGAGCTTGAATACAACAATGCTATACTAAATAGGTTGTAAGGTTCAAACGATGGGTATGGGAACCCTAGGATACCAAGGTTTCGGGAGGTTCGGGGAAATCTCCACGCTTGGCCAGAAACCATCGCTCCTAAAAATAACCACAACAACATCGGAGCCTTTATGGAAATCAGACTTGACGGTGCCGTAGCAAATAGCTGGCACGTGCTGCAAGGGACAAATACTTGTCACTATACCCCTGCTTAACGGCTTAGTCACACTTGACGGATACATGTGGAATCTTTACATCGATGGCCCGCGCTGGGTCCGTCGAAGTTGACACCGCGCTTGCCACCAGAGTTCACAGCGGTGACCTCCTCAGGGTTCTGGAAAGTACCTGGACTCATGTTCGGCTTAATGTCGGGGTATAGTAGTGTCGTGAGACAGGGTTGCAGAATATGGTGCAGTCTAGACATAATTGCCAAGGAGGGTGTGCGAGCTAACCATATGCACCGGACAAGGAATGAATCTGCTGTCGGCGTACCTGTGGAGCCGCTGATGGCTTCGTAGCCCAGATTCTCCTGATCATGATCGAATTGAGGGATACGCTGGTAACAAACGCCGCGGAAATATAAAAATTCCAAGTGTAGCTAGAGATCTAGAGTAGCTATAATGCGCAGCTTTGGGGTTGAGAGTTACATGCGGGACTTGCTGGGCATGGCACCAACAGGACCTACATCAAACTGCTTCTCGATGGGGAAGAGACGCTTTCTCTGTGGCGGGAACCTTGCATCAGTACACACAGAAAACGTTAAGATGCATACACACAGGCAGACCCACAAACACACACACACACACACACATATATATATATATATATACACCGAACCCTAAACGAACATCCTGTACTTGTCTCCACATGAACCTGAACTTAAACCCCGAAGCCTCAATCCCCAAACCACGAAAAGCATGGGACCTAGATCGAAATGCAGCCAGAACCATACACAAAATCTGAAGCCCCCGACACCCCGAAATTTAATACCTAACCCCTGTACTGAACAAGAAGTTAAACCCTGAAGCCCCAAAGCAATACCAAAGAAGATCCCAAGGTCTTAAACCGGAAGGAAAAATCCCAAAATATCCTCAAAACCCTAAGCCTTAAAAGTAGAAAAAACACTTAAACCCGAAGCAGCCCGGTAGTCTCCGGATCGTCGAAGGACAAGCGAACCAATGGGTTTGCAACCAGACCTGTGCGCAAAGGATTCGGGCTACATAGGTTTAAGGTTTTTTTTGAGCTCCTTTTTACGGCTGCACAAACGTCTGAGCTACTGCAAGGCCGATTGGGTTTAAGGTTTGAGCGTTCAGGTTTTTTCACTGGTTCAGGGTTTAGGGATCTGGGCTTTTGGTTTATGGTTTGTAGGGCTTCGGGTTTTTACAGGGCGCCAGGGGTTTGGGGTTTATGAGGTTTCACTGTTGATGAACACGTTCAGAGGAACGCGGCTTTAGGCTTTAATGGGACCTGCGCATTTCTAGTTTATAGGGTTTGCAGGGATTGTTGCATTTAGGGTTGATGTCCTCTTGGAGCCTTTAAAGTACGAACCCCCCTGAACTCGAGACTCCGCATACCTCTGAACTGAGAATTATTCATCTCAACCGTACCAAGTAACAAGATGCATTTACGACTGCACCTCAGGAATGTTACTTGGTGGGAACCGTTCATGTACAGGCATCAAAGGCACTGTCCACCATGATCAAGGTGATGTCATCAACGAGGCTGTAGTCCATCCTTAAACGAACCCGTATAAAACCTTAAAAGGCCCGCAGAAGAACCTTTACGGGACACCTGTACGATTTGGAGCTTGGGGCCGGGGGGTTCAGCTCAGCGGCCGAAACAACCAGAGTAGGACTGTGCATGACCTTCTGCTGATATTACAATAAATTCTCTCTCTCGCTCTCTCTCTCTCCCCCTCTGTCTGTTTCTGACGATAATGATGAACATGCTGATGATAATCATGAAGATGGAGATGAACACGACGATGATGAGTTGAAAGGTCATGGGATGCAGCCAAGACAGCGTTACACCAACTGTGTGGTAACCCTTTCAAACAGTTCCAGTTTCTTGCTGAAAGTCTACATGCTCCTCTTGCTTGATCCTTCAAGATTAGTGGCTGTCCAAAGAAATGCCACTGCGTGGATCCAAAGAACACACCACAATCGTACTAAAGAGGGAGCCTGAGTGGGAGAACACCGGCAATCCAGAACGGCGAACTTGTGAGATAACCCCAAGCCCAGCGTCAGAAGATGTGAATCCTTCATCTCTACCATGCCGTCCGTCGTGGTGCACAGCTTGACGATGCAACTTTGGCAATCCTAAGCGGCAAGAGCCCAGAATCTAGAAATACTTTCCTCTCAATTCGATGTATAACCATTTCAACTCAGCAGTATTACCTTACCTCTTCATATTGGAACTGCTGCTCCATTACCAGTATACGATTTCCTTCAAATGACTGCTATGAGCAGTTTCGCGTAATGCAGCCTACTCGGAGGTTCATGGGTACTTATTAGCAGGGCTATAAGTCTCCATATAGGGCGTATAACTACAGTTACCCTACTTCTAACCCCACTTATAACTTATAACTATCCTAAACCCTAAACCCTCTAGAACCCTTAAGGGAACCCTAGACTTAACCCTAACACCCCACTTATAACTGTCCATGAACTTCCAGCTAATAAACCCTTAAACCTGAACCCCAAACAAAAACCTAAACCCTTACCCCCAAACCCACCCCAAAAAACAAACCCCGGCCCCAAACCCCAAAACCCCTAAGCCCCCACAAGAAAACGGCCATGGTCTGGGAGATTGCAGGGTCTAGTCGGAGGTGGTCGGGCGCGTAGGTGGGCCAAACAGATCAGGGTTTAGGCCTTAGAGTGTAGGGTTTAGGGTGTGGGGTTTAGGGTGCGGAGTTTAGGTTTAAAATTTTGAAAGCCTCGAATGACTTTTTGCGGGTATGAGGGTTGCTGCGTTGGGGTTTAGAAGGGTTTTAACATAGAGGTCTTCCTTAATAACTAGACTAGGGTCTTGGGGCCCAGTATACTAGAACAATTGCAGTAAACAACCATCAAAAAAATACAGGTACGTATTAAGGCCCCTGTGGTTGACTTTGAGGGGTCGCAGACTGCCTTGGGCTTGCGGCTTCGCGCATTGAATGACGGCAAGCCGCGTATTTGGCCCGGATTGCATGTTTCACCTCGGGGAGATTCCAAAGAACAAACCCTCAACCATGGAACCCTACCTAGGGGGTCATACCCTCCCCTTTGTTAGGATACCTAGTTTAATGGTTCGGATCTGTTATATAGAAATTCAGGTACCTTAACAAAGGGGTAGCGTATGAGCCTCTAGGCACTTGAACCCTAAATCCTGAAACCCAAACCCTAAACCCTGAACCCTCAACTCCGGTTTGGAGCTTATGGCCTGTGAGCGAAGAATCGTTTTTTTGGGGGATGGGTTTCGAGTTTATGATGCGTTAAGACAAAGTCCTGTAAGGGTTTAGGATCTAGGGCTCCTTCAAGGCTTTAAGGGTATTGGGTTTAGAGTTCCTTTGAGGGTTCCTAAGTACTTGCATGGCATACAGCAGGGCTTCTAGTATGGTTTGGGGCAGTCACCCACGTAATGTAGGTACTTATGAACCTTTGAGGGGAAAGCAAATAGGGTTTAGGGTAGTCTGCAAAGAAACAGATGAACATCTGTAAGCTCTCACCCCCTGAGCAGCAGTACGTACTTCAAACTTCTGGACCCCAAACCAAAGCAAAGCGACGAGAATGGGATGGGCTTTGTTGGAGTCTCAGGACCCAAAGAGCCCAGTACCCCGAATTCAGGGATAACTAAAAACCATAGAAATCACAATAACTACCTTACGTTTAAGAGAGATCTGAGCTATCTTCCTAAGTCGAGGGGTATTGGGCGCGGTCGGCTGTCGCGGGGAATGCGTGCTGCAGACTTCTTGACGGAAACCGCAGCTTTTTGATTTCAGTATTAGTAAGTTGAAAAAGATTCCCAAGCCCCAAAGTACTGTAGGGGTCTGAATATCTAGAATAAGGTGTCGGGGCATGTGATAGGACGTTTGATACAAGGCACCCTTGGGAGGGGGTGCAAGGGAAAAATATGACTCATTTCTCCAACACATGTAATATGCTCCAAACTGTCTTGTCTTGACAAGCATGTCTTAAAATAATGAACCATGAACCGATATGGTTAGTCCACGTGTTGCCTGCCCTGATCCATACAAAGATACAGCAAGCCTACAGTCTCCATTCGAGTTCCTTTGATTCTTGGGGAAGAACAAAATTATCGGATCCTAACCAAAAAAGATTGGTTAGCCTGAAACAGAGGAACTATACAATGGAGACTATATAGTGAACCCCCAAAAGTCGGAAGATGGATTTAGGATGATGCGTGCTGGGATTCCCTATGCTTTACATTAAGGGCATGAGGATAATAATGCTCCAACTTTCTGGCTTCTACTCTCGGAGGTTTTATAGGAAGAGACTAGAAGCCCAACGACTTTCTGTGCCTGTCCGAAGAGCAGACGCGCGCGCGAAGAAACATCCGAATAAAACGAAAGCTGCACCAAACTCAGAAAGCAAATGCCTAAACTCGGATATGGATTTAGGGCGGCAGGGTTTAGGGTTTATAGCAGGGCTCAGGGAGCCTAAACCCTGCAACTATTTTGCTTCAACCGTGGATGGAAACATCTCTCTCTCGGCAGCTGACAGTCTGGACCGTATCAACGGCCGGACGCACCGTGACAGGATATCCTTTCCCGGTGAGGCCCTGCGAGACAGAAATGGTCTAACATTGACGCTTGAAGCCTTAACCTTAAGCGATTGGGTTTGTGAAAAGCTCCGAACTCCATATGAAATGACATCACCAGAATCAGAACCCTAAACCCTAAATACTCCTAAGGTCCCATTTCCTCAGCTGGATAGGTCTAGCGCCGGGAGAGCCTAGTGGGCCCTGCAGAGTGCGCGGATTCTGTTTGCGATTTTTCGGGTTTGGGGTGAGGGTGTCGGGTTCAGGGTTTAGGGGTTCCGGGATTTGCAATTGAGGCGAGGGGTTTGTTGGGGTTTGGGCTTCGGGATAGTGCCCGACAATTCCGGATCGATTGCTTGACAGCTGAAGGGAAAACCGCACCCGAAACCCTAAACCCGAACCCTAAAACCCCCAAACATAAACCCTTCATCCTAAACCCGAAGCCTTAACCCCAAACCATTTAACATGGAGCGGCGGTATGCGTGGGGATCAGGTCGGGCATTGCACCACAGGTAGCGGCGCACAATGCATCCAGATCTCTAGACCCTGCCTCAACCTCAAATAACCTGCTTTTGGGGGGCTCCTGTTCTAGGATACCCAGTAACCTAAGAATAAAAAGGCCTCTCTTTTTGGTATTGGGTAACTTTATAAGGAACCTAGGACTACAAAAAGGGAATAAGGGTACTACTGGGCATCCTAGTCTTTATGATTGCTGCCCAAGTCTGATGACCGATCTACAGCCGGGCAGGTGAAACAATTGAACAGAGTACCCATGAAATGCGAAACCATGCCTATAAATTAGAAGCTGCCCCCACCCTGTAATAGTGACCATAAGGGTTTATATTAATATTATATTAGGGCCCTATTATATTCCTATTATACCACTATTACAGGGTGGGGGCAGCTTCTAACCTATAAATCATAAATAGCAAGAGCTCTTCTTGACCTGCCAGCTTCATGGAACTTACTATCATTACTTGCTTACTCCCCCCAATAAACCACAGAAACAAAAGGTTAAACTTTCCGATTCCAACTAAACTAGATGAGCCCAACAACTTTGAAGGTTGGGCATTGGGGATCTAAGTAGTTTCCCCTGAGTCCAACAACTTTGAAGGTTGGGCATTGGGGATCAAAGTAGTTTCCCCTGAGTCAACCTCTGCTGTGAGCCGGTTTTGTGAGGACGGCAGGCTGTGCGGCAGAAAGATTCCCCCTGGCTCAACCCCAGGGTGTACGGCTTATGGGTTTAGGGGTTAGGGTTTAGGACCCCAAATCACCTACCTTTTTAGGGTTACCTAATTTAATATGACTTCTCTCTATATAAGGCCTTAAGTCGGCTTACCATAAACTCCTGAAAGCACCCGAAAGCCTTAAATCCGAAATCGTCGGGGAAGTCTCCGGAATACGAAATCCGTTGAAATCCCGCAGCCATCGAGCGCAAGCACTGACGGCACTTCATATCAACCCTAAACCCTATAAACCCGAACCCTTAAAACCCTAAACCCTCAACCTCAAACCCCACCGGTGAGCCTTTGGGCACAACTCGCAAGTGAGCGCTGCCAGCCGCTGCTTTCCTTTGGCGACTCCGCGGTCCGACACTTTCGAAGCTACACCACTTGGGGGCTGAGTAGGGTTTAGGGTTTAGGGTTTAGGGTTTAGAGTACTCTAGCCCAAAAAAGACTAATTAACCTTTTCAACCTCTTTGTAGAAAGATATCGAACCAAAAGGCTGAAGATTACCTACTCAGCTACTCAGTCCATGACTCAATAAGGGAACCTTTGCGCGAATTCAGACAACATGGGGCCCTGGCCAGGAGCCTTAGCAAAAGGAGCCGAGATCTTCAGAACTCTCCTTGACCTGCTCGTCAGCATACTTGGAAGTTCATGGGTAATTAGTTATAAGTGGGGTTATCAGGTATAAGTCCCCTCATAGAGGGGTCATTGTTATACTTATATACCCTACTTCTAACTCCACTTGCAACTACCCATGAACCTCCAAGTACAGGACAGCAAAAAGTGCAAGCCCTGCACCCTCAAGCCTCAATTGCAGGCTCACGACACCTGTTCACACCGTTCTATTAGGAGTTACCTACTTTGACTTCCAAGGCAGCCTCCAAGACAACGAGCTGATTGCACTTGCTTGCTTGACAAAAATTATGACCTTTATCGCTTTATAAACCTGATAGCGCCTTTATAGGGTTTAGGGTCTCAGTCTCAGTCGTTTCCACTGGACAACTTGTCACCCGAGTGGCCGTACTCCTCCAAATGTCTTGCGCCAGAAACCACCTCGCGCAGCATCTGCGCGATGGCCTGCATCTGTTCAGTATCGGACAAGAGTGATTCATCATTCATTCTGTTGCCTGATCTGTCACATTCGAGACGCTGCACAGATCCATGAACGGTCTTTAACTCCCGATAGCGCCTGGGTGTATGGAACTTCTGCTCCATCCAGGTGAGGGTTCGAGACAGCAGAAACAGCAGAGACCTGTCTGCAGCGACGGTCTCTAGGTCTCTAGGTTGGGTCCTAGGGGGTTTGGGGGTCGAGGTTTTAGGGTCTTGGGGTCTTGGGTCTGCGAAATCCCATACCGACACCCGATTTCCAGATGATCGTTACAGGCTGTAGCTTAGAAGGGGCCCCCACCCTGTAATAGTGGTATCATAGGAATATATTAGGGCCCTAATACAATCCTTGTAATCACTATTACACGGTGGGGGGCCCTTCTAAGCTGTAGCACTGATTGCACCCAAAAGTTGCCGCTATGGGTGACACCATGACAAGACCAGGTCCCCAAGCCTTGAGCCTGAAACTCTGAAACGCGTGTTTGCAAGCATTTCAAATCTGAAGCCGTTCAGGGCTTCAACAGGAATAGTAGTAAACATCATAGTGATAGTAGCAATGATAGTAACAAACATAAGAAAAGTCGTGCTAACAAAGATGAAATACTCTGAACCGTCAAGCCTGCACTAGATCCTAGATGCACCTAACTACCTTCTTTACCACGAACTGCATAACTGGTGACAAGCAGTTCTGGCCAGCGTCAGAAATGCACAATTCTGCATTCTCAGATATGGCAGACGATAGTATACTGTAGAACATGTTATAGCGTATACCGTAGTAGATCATAGTATAGTATACTGTGGTTCTGGCATATTTTGACACCAAGGTATGGTAATCCATGAGATCAACGAGGCTCGAGACCTCAAGCGCACAGGCGCCTGCTGCTGGAGTTGCGCTGCTTCCAGAAAGACGCGATCCGCATCCTTAGGGTCACCCCAAGGGTCCAAGTACCTAATGACCATATACTCTCCGAAATCCTAACCTACATAACGACTATGCTAAAACAGAGTACCTAATTATTGGATCCTTTGGACCCTTAGGGTTATGGTTTGAGGGGAGCTCTTGGCCCGGGACACGTGACCCCGCACCTAAAAACCTGAACCCGGCAACCCTTAGCCGCATCATTGGGGTTGACAGTTCTTCCGGTGGATCTTGAAGTTGGGTTCGCTGTGCATGGCAAGGTGCGGCAAGGAAACAACACTCTCCCCCTCTTCGAAAAAACACACATGCACGCGACAACAAAGCAAGTGTAGCCCGTTAGAGCTCTGGTGTCTTGAGCACACATGTTCATTTGTCAGCGCTATAACTGTTAACCAGTGGCCATGCTAGTACTGGTGTAGCTCTGAGTGGCCAAACCGTGTCCTTAAAAGCACATGGAATCGTGATCGTTTGGGGGTATATTTCCGCATACTTATAACCTGGGGGCTGCAAGGGGGCTTATTATCGCTGATACTTACTGGAAAATCCCAACCGCTACTATGTAGGTATCTGACACCCTCGCAGGCTTAGCACAGGCTCTGTCGCTGTCTCGTTGGTGGCGCCCACGTCTCCTCCGTGGTGAACTTATATCTGTAGCAATATACGGGCCTTAATAGTTAGCGGAGGCCGTTATACTATATATATATATATATATATATATATATATATGTATATATATATATATATATATATATATATATAACAAGGAACCCGCAACATGGTATAGGTAATAATATCTAAAGGCCCCTATAGTCATCGGAACTACAGGTACACGCAAGATAAGCCGATCCAACTCAAAGCAGGTAAAATCAGGGCCCAAAACCTATAAAAGGCTATCAGCCCACAGCCCACATACTTTTGGGGTCCAGGTAAGGGCTCATAACCTACGATTTGTCGGGTTTGGGGCTGCAGGTAGGGTGTGAGGCAGCCTGCAACAACACCAGAAGGACTTCATCAGGCTTACTCTGGGGCTTTCAGGCTTCCCGAGCAGGCCCCTAAATTAGAGCGTGTTTTCCGGAGTTCGTGTGTCATCGTGCCAGCCTCGGATTTCTTAACGCAAAACGTCTTCGAAGGCAGGATCTGGATTTACATTCTTCGTGACCATGGACCCGAAACTTCCCTAAACCCTACACCCGTCGTCCGAACCCAAACCCTAACCCAGCTAAGATGTAAACCCCTAGACCCTGCAGCACGAGGTGAGTCCTCCCCAACCCTGAACCCGAAAATCGACTTGCGAAACCCTCATCGAACCCTGCGAGAAACCCTCATAAAAAGGAGTACCTTAATAACAAACCGTAGACCCTATAAATCAAACCGCACACCCTATGCGTCCCAACCCGAAACCCTAAACCCTGAATCTTTAAAGCAATTGAACCCTAACCCCAAAACCCCAAACCCTCAAGCCCCATAAATGCCAACCCCAAAAAACCCCTCTCTCTCTCTCTCCTCTCTCTCTCTCTCTACATATATATATATAGTTTTTTCTTAATTTATTTGTTTGATTATTTACATATATGAGTCCTAGCCCCCAACAATAAAACTCCACAAATCCCTCCCTCGCCTGGCTTGGGAGCCACGCGCTCGGCCAGGGAGAGCAGATCGCTTCGAAAGGCTGTCCGCTCCTGGAGCGTCGATTAGGGTTTATAGGGGGGTTCCTTTAAAGGGTACCATGGGGGTTCCTTTTAGGGATCTATAGGGTTTAGCGGTTTAGGGTTCCTGTAACGGGTGCCATGGGGTTCCTTTAGGTTTGGGGTTTAGGGTTTAGGGTAGTTGTCCAAATAAGGGTCCCTTTTTGGGTACCTTAAATATTAGGTGCCGTATTATATTGTGGACCCAAAAAGGGACCATAATTTTGACAACCACCCATTAGGGTTTGTTTGGGTTTAGGGTTCAGGGATTGGGATGTAGGGTTTAGGTGTTAAAGGGCTGATTAGGGTTTATAGGGCTTTGCGGTTTAGGGATTTGGGTTTAGGGTTTAGGGTTTACAGGGGTTCAGGCTTCCGTTAAGGGGTACCATAGGGGTTCCCTTAAGGGATCTATAGGGTTTAGGGTTTAGGGATTAAGGATTAAGGTTTAGGCGTTGGGGTTTAAGGTTTGGGGATTGGGGATTAGGGTTTCGGGATTGGGGTTTAGGGACTGATTGCCCGTGCCTAATAGTGCTAATGGTGGCCGGAGTAGAAATAGCAGCAGAGACATAACAAAGATACCACAGAAGCATAAGGCAAGTAAGATATCGGATGGTGGTCGGCAGACCACTTCTAACAGTAGTTTCAATCATGGAGAAACGACACTCCAAAGCTAAACCGTACAACCCCCTGAGCCGAAACACAAAGCCGAAACATACTACCTGGACCCTATAAGACCTTCCTTTTTGGGTTCCCTAGTATGATTTCCTTATATACATCCTTAAAAGGGTATGTTATTTGGAGTTAAGGTAGGCCCTGCGGCATTATACATAGCAGGATCTAGGTCACGAAGGGGCCTTAATAATTAGAATAGTGTTTTGGGGCCCCTGATACTATAATTATAATACAAGGACCTCCCAATTTTTATAGGTCAATTAGAAGGCCCCTACAGTATCGACAAGCCTTAAACAATGTGGCTAGAGGTTATAACGATGTTCTAACAGCGAAGATTGGCCCTACCTTCTAAACCCTATAGTGAGGAACAGGTACAAAAAAAAAACTCTAAACCCTAAACCCTAAACCCAAAACCCTAAACCCTAAACCCAAAACCCTAAACCCTTAAACCGTATATGGTACTCCAGAACCCAGTTATACATAGCAGGACTATAGATCCCTAAAGACCGCTTTAAGGAACCCTTCAAAGGAACCCTAGAATTATACCTACTATAGGGGCCTTAAATACCAATACTATTTTGGGGGATTCCTTATTATAATAAGTATAATAGGGAATCCCCCAAAATAGTATTGGTATTTATTAAGGCCCCTATAGTAGGTAGCCTCCAACGGGCCTTCTCCAGGGACTCGTCGTGCGCACGCTGGATCGCAGAGGTAGCCTCTGCAATGTGCCTGGGCTCTTAGTTCAGGAATTTGGGAGCTTCCTTTAGGGGTTTGTAGGGATGTCTAGGGTACTTTTCTTAGGGATCTATAAGGATTCTGTAAAGGGTTTAGGGTTTAGGGTTTGGGAGTTTCCGAAGATAAGGGGTTCCTTGTTTGGGGGGTCCTTCTAATCAGGATCCTACTCTAGGGTACTATACAAAGGCCCGCTATTTTCGGAAACTCCCGATTGAATTAAGCTGCCAGATCAAGGACCTTGTGTAAATATGATGTATGGTTTCCTTACCATGGTAACTTAAAGCAACTTCCCTAACAAGAACCCAGGTGCGTGGCGTACTGCTTCTGCAGCGTGGCAGTCAGCCTTGGTAAAGCAAGTTCCTCAACGCGTTAAAGGGCACTTTGCAGGGTTCTTATAGGGGTTGCCTGCTATGAGGGCTGCTATACCGTTTACTATAAGTGCTACGAGGCGTCGAGACTTTGCATGTGAGGCCGACAGCCTAGTCCTGGGCACTTGATACTTGAACCATTGAAAGAACACGCAGGAAGAAGCTGTAATTCGCTGCAAACCTTGTGAACTTTGGCGGCCATTGCGTTTGCATGCTACAGTGGAGAAAAGGTATGTTACGGAGAGCCATTGAGAAACCGTGAGTTCGAAACCCAGCGCTGTGCAACGAATCATATATATATATATATATATATATATATACATTTCTTTTAATGTATATACTTATACAACTACATATATACATACATATGTACATATTTTTTTAATGTATGTGTAGCTTTGCAAGGAAGGATAGGGTAGATGGGTGGGAGGGTGGGTGTGTGGGCGGCTCCTTACAGCCCGAAGCCCCGGCTCTAACTCTGAATCCTGCGCCCAGGCGCGCGCAAGTGAGGCCATGAAAGAAGTGGTCGGAATCCGACCCCTGCAAAAAAACAAGGTATACTCATATGGGAGTTTTCGGAAATATGGGGTACCTTATTTCGGGGTCTTTACACTCAGGATCCTACTAGTTAGGGGACCATATTAGTGTCCCTTATTTTTGGAAACTCCCTTATGCATAGTAAGTAGATAGATACCATAGACAGACTAAGTGTCACCAGGTGCTTTATGAACGCCCCTGCAGAAACAAGTGTGTCGTTTGACGTCGTTGCAGGCTCTACGCAAATCTTACACCGTTGAGCTGACGTATAAGTAACGTTATACAAGGTCTTGGGATCTGCTTAGCACACCTAACGTCTCTGTAGTTTCAGGCTGGCGTGCGGCGGGGCACTACAGGGGGACTCTCTCCCGAAGGGTCCTAGGCACTGTTATGCGGGATACTTCCCCAAATCATAATAGTCATTCCGAATATAGAAACCCCACGTTCAACCATATAGGTCCTTACAGGAACCAATATAGAAACCCTAAATTCTACCATATAGGTATTGAGGACCCTTTGGTTTTGGAAGTCTCTGGCCAAGGGTATTCGCCTCGGACCCGGCCGAAGCGGTCCGAGCTTCCCATAGCAACACACTCCAGTGACCCAGCCTTACCTTCCGTGAGGGTCCTAAGTACCTCCTATATATATATCCTAAACCCCTAAACCCAAACCCTCAACCCCTGAACCCTCAACCACTAAACCCTTTTAACCCTGATCCCTTCTAGACCCCTGTAAGGAACTCTTTGAAGGAACCCCCGAAATAGTACAGGTAATTACATAATATGGTCCCTATATTAACCCAATGCCCTGGGCGCTGATCCGTCCATCCGGCCTTCGTCACAGACGCGAGTTTGGAGGCCACTTGCTTTTGGAAGGCCTCCTCCTGCTCTTACAAGGACCCTTCAAGCGACTTCCGCTCTTAAATTGACGACCCTTAAAGCGAGCTGTGTTCCAAAAGGGACCTTTAAAGCGACCCTTGAATTAACCCTGCTCTTATGTCTACTATTGGGCTCCATTATAAGGCTCCTTTTGAGGGTACGACTGGGTTCTATAACAGGGTTCCCTTTAAGGGTGCTCCGGGGTTCTCTAGGGTTCCCTTTGAGGGGTACTATTGGGTGCTATAATAGGGCTCCCTTTAACGGCACTACTGGGTTCTCTAATACGATTCACTTCAAGGGTACTACTGGGTTCTATAACAGGGTCGCTTTTAAAACTCGGGTTCCCTTTCAGGGTACTATTGGGTTCTGTAGTGGGTTCCCTCTAAGGGATTTCGGGTGTTTTAGGGGTTTGGGAGGTTCGTGGGGATAGCAGTCTTTCGGACTTTTGGGGATAGAGGACATCGTAGGGCTCGCAGATTGTGCTCGGCTTGTTTTTGGGACGGAGGTTGTAAGGGTTTAGGGTTGAGGGTTTAGGGCTTAAGGTTCAGGGGTTATAGGGTCTAGGGCTTATGGGTTTAAGGCTTACAGGTCTTAGGATTTTGCCTTTAGCTATTTTTGGGGTGCAGGGGCAGAGGGTCCAAGGCGTGGGATTTATGGGCGTGGGGCTTTGCTGAAATGTAAGGACCAACAGACAATTGCATATATAGTATAGTGGATAAAGGTTTTTGAAAATGAGTGGTGCGATGTATACGTTTACCAGAACATGAAGGAACATATTAACATGTATCCACAAAGCTACCCATAGTTCCGATGGCAACGGGAGCAGTCAGGGTTGGGGTAGAAAGTTTCTGGTTATATGGCTTACATATGTTTATATATATATACATATGTCTATATATATATATATATAAATACAACCATATACATATACTGTTTTGAAATAAGATTATGGCAATCAGCTGCTTTAGTTTCGATGGATTGGCGTCGGGTTGGGGGAACACGATTTCGGCATTTATCTTCCGCTGCGGCTTCCGGATATTGAAGTTGCTGGACATGGAAAGCCCGAAAGCTTGTAGTGGAGATGAGGCTTTGACAGGATACGGCCCCAAACCCAAACCCAAAACCCTAAACCCCTAAACCCTAAACCCTAAACCCCCTAACCCTAAATCCCCAAAGCCCCATGTCCATGGGTGAGGTATCCCACGCCAGGAAAACGAATGTCATTCGAAACACTCCGGTGCTGGCCTCTCGACTCTTTGCAGCGGCCTTGGACACGCAGCATGGGATCTACTATTTGCTTAAGAGCCCCCAAAAAAATAAAAAATGTATTCCTTATGGGGGTAATATAGGGATTATTATTTTTATTTTTGGGTGGTTTCTTAAGCAAATAGTAGTGGGATTGAACCATGGATGTGAGGATCGCCTAGGGTCACTGGGATCAAAAACTACAGAAAGGAAGGCCCAAATGGGTGGTTGTCAAAAGCCCAGTCCTAAACCCTAAACCCTCAACCCCAAACCGGTTTCGGGTCTAGGGGTTCATGATGTCGTCTTGTTTGGGGGCTTCGGGCTTTGTAGCTTTACGAATTTACTGTCACATGATTTTCTTGGCACAGCAAATACTGGTCCTGTGTTGACAGCGCTATCACCACATATCACCACGGTATTCACTCTTCTTCACTTCACTTCAGGTGGGTCAAACTGTCCGCGTTCCACATGTTGATGTTGATGATGTAGTTGTTGCTGATTCCGCTGCCACTGGTCTTTCTCCTCCTTCTACTCCGCCTGCTGCTGCCGCCCTTGCAACAACTGATTACCAACAGAAAAGTAAAGGCAAAATGCATGACAATGGCTGCGCTTCTCTTACTGCAAGTAACTCGCAAGTCTGCGTAGTCCTAGCTCCCGACTCTGTTCCAAACCGGCGCCTTTGCTCCGAATTATTGTGTTGCACCTGCTTTTTTTGGCAACGAGAGCTATGTGGGAGTTTCCGAAAATTAGGGGTACCTTCTTTTGGGGTCCTTATAATAAGGATCCTACTATTTAGGGTACCATATTAGGGTCCCCCTGTTTTCGGAAACTCCCATGTATCCGTAAGGATTAAGCCGGAAGCCTATGAAGTCATGATCCGCAAGCACTTGGAACCACAGGTACCGTAGTATTCACACCGTGGTTCTTGCAAGCTTTGGAGTTGTGCTGGCAACATTACCGAAAAATCTGCAGGGCTTGCGTCAAAAAGGCTCAATTAATAAAAACTAGCCAGTGTATACTATACATGGGCCCCTATAGGGTCCCTCATCTTGGAGGCCTCACAAGGTGGGATGAAGGTAGGTGGGATTAAGGATCCCTTATATAAGGACTCTTACTTGGGAATATCCCACCTACCTTCATCCTACCTTTTGAGGCCCCCGATCATCATGGCGGTTCTCTATAACTACTTGAAGCGGTGCAGCGTTTACGGTTGAGTTTACCTGGACCCCGGACATATATGAGGACAGATTAAGGAACCCTAAAAGGGAAGGTTGGGGACAGATTAAGGAACCCGAAAAGGAAGGTTGAGGACATATTAGGGAATCCTATAAGGAAGGTTTTGCAGGATCTAGGTAAGGGTTTAGGGTCCAGGAACCCGAAGAACACAAAAACCATAAACCCTAAACCCCTAAACCCTAAACCCGAAGAAAACAACGCGAGAGGCGGCCTGGCGCTTCGCGAGCGCGGCCGCCAGGACATCCAGGGTGTCTGGGGAAAGGTCCCCGACGACGCCTCGGGTATTTGGGGTTCTAAGGAGCTTAAGGGGGTTAGAGGGGTTTAAAGGGAACTCCAGAAAGTTGGAATATCATTATCATAATCCCTTTAAGGTAAATTATAGGGGATCCTGCCATTATTCCATATTCCAACTTTCTGGCTTTTACTTTAAGGGTTTTAGAGCTGAGGGTTCTATAGGAGATTCCGGGGCTTAGAGTTGAGGGCTCTGGGGAGTTTGAGGGGTTTATATAGGGTGTATGGAGGCGAACAATGGGGACCTACATACGCCTCAGGTGGGCTCGTTTTGGGGCAGGGTTTTTAAAGGGTTTAGCGGGTTTCGGGTTTCTTAGCTAATTAAAGTAGAAGCCAGAAAGTTGGAACATGGCTTTAGGAGGATTAGTGCTAGGATCCCTCATACTTTACCTTAAGGGCATGGGGATAATGATGTTCCAACTTTCTGGCTTCTACTATAAAGGGGTTCAGAGTTTTGGGTAGAATGTAAGGACCTGCGCCTCGCTGGGAAACGGTTTTAGGGAGTCTAAGGGCTTTGGGCTTAGGGTACCGTAACAGTGATGTCCGGCGTTTAGGGTGTCGCAATCGGAATCCATATGAAGGACCTTTAGGAGTAACATGTACATAGTACGGTTTCCTTGATATGGTAACTTACGACATGTTCTTGACAAGACCCAGCTCAGGCTCAGGGTATTGCCTCCCCGAGTCGACTGTACTTGTACTTCCTAGAGGAATAGAAGGCCCTTGAACGGCTGTTAACCGACAAGGGTTAGAGGTTTAGGGTTATAGCGTTTATACGGAAACTATGGTACAAAAGGGCCGTGGCATGCCACGAGCGCGCAAATACGAGCAGCCACGCTGTAGGAAACAGATCAACTGTTGCCATGTCTTGATTCGGGAGTTTCCTGAAAATAGGGGACCCTAATATGGTAGCCTGAATAGTAATAAGGTACTCCAAATTTTCGGAAACCCTAAACCCCTTGTAGAGCCTTCAAAAGGAACCCTTATAGCATCTTTAAAGTACCCTAAACCCTAACCTAAACCCTACCCTTTAAAGGAGCCCTTATAGTATCCTTATAGTATCCCTTGGAAGGAACCCTTAGGGGCCCCTAGGGCTCTAGCTATCACCAAGAAGCCTAAATCTGGCGCTGGATGTGGGGTTTCCTGTCTCGCGGACGTCTGCTGTGCAGGGAAAGCCATAATATAGGGCTACTATGAAGGCTTATTGTAGGTTCCTTTTAAAGGTCTCCTGGGGATCTATAAGAGGGATCTTCTATGGTAGCCTTAATAATTAGGATTGGGTTTGGGCGAATACTTTATTCTGATATAAAAAGGAGCCCCCAAAATAGTATAGGTAATTATCTAGGTCGCTATAGTGCGGTTGCAGTGCTGGCAAGCAGCGGTCAACCTCGTCTGCGGAACAGCCCTCCAGCTTTTCCTCGCAAGAAAGGGCTTGGACCTATGGTCAGTGACGCCGATGCCTAGAATAAGTTGACTCTCAACTGCCAGGAACCTCCTTGTACCCTCAAATAGGGGTATGCCGTCACACAAAAAAGGGGCATTTAGGGTCCAATAGAGAGTAGATGGTGGGTCGAGGTGCTCTGAAATTGAATCCACGCAATTATGAACTAGACCCTATGAATAAAAAGGATGCCCTTTTTGGCTTAAAGGGGCTTAAAAGGGAACCTGAACCCTAACAAAAGGGAATAAGGGCCTACTCTAGGTCCTAGTGAATAACTTCGTAAGTTCGGGCTCAGGGTTGGGGCAGGGCCGGTCTAACTGGCGTCCAGCGAACGGGAACTGAAGGTTAACCAAAAGCTTCCTGGTATGAATGAATTTTAGCAGATTGTATAGGATAGAAACCCAGGGCCCGAGGACCCACAAATTTCAGGAAACGTAACCGAAGAAAGTTCTGCCCGGCGCCCGTCCCTTCCCGCGTCCTTGAGCTCTTTCGCCATTGCTCCAGAGCCCATTGCCAAGCAAGTTCAGGTGTCAGTGTGTAACCAGGGCTGCCTACTCCATTCAGCGACCTGCTTGGTAGACCACGGTTGTAGCCCAGGCTAGCACAATCAACTTAACACGAGCGCGGGGACCTGCTCTTGCTTGCTAAGGCCCGTACCCTAAACCCGCAACCTTAACAAAGCCTTAAACTCTAAACTAAAAGCCCAAACCCTAAACGAGGTCTCGCTGATTCGCGCTCCATGAGAGACGCCGACGGGTTCGAAGAGCAAGCATAGGCTAACCCCACACCTCACATCCTGACCCCCACCCTACGCTTGGGGGAAGGAGGTTGTTGTGTTTTGGTTTGTGTTGCGGGATTTGGCGAGGTTGTTGTGTTTTGCTTGTGTTATGGGTTTGGAAGGTTGATTTTGGGAGGCGGGTTGAGAATTGAGGTCAAAGCATAGGGTGGGGGTCAGGATGTGAGGTGTTGGGTTAGCCTATGCTTGCTCGAAGAAGGGGGGCAGGGCTTGGAATGTAGGGGCTCTCGAGGGGTATGGTTCAGGTTTAGTGGTTCAGCCTAGGGTTCAGAGTTCAGGATTTAGGGGTTTAGGGGTTAGGGTTTAGGGGTGTAGGGTTTAGGGGTTTAGGGGTTAGGGTTTAGGGGTTTAGGGGTTTAGGGGTTTAGGGCTTAGGGGTTTACGGTTTAGGGTTTAGGGGTTTAGGGTTTCAGGTTTAGGGGTTTAGGGTTTAGGGCGGGTAAGGCTCTCATTGTGCGCCTGCACCTCAAAGCCTTAAGGCACTAAAATACAGCTGGGCATAAACCGCTGCTCTCTGTTGGCGATTGTCGTTCCTTCTACCAACACATCGGTCAGCTTGAACCAAAAACGCGGGAAGGAGCTGTGGCATATGACGACCTATGCAAGGATTCATTCGCCCGTAGTATGGGGAACTACTGAAACGTCGTTGAAACACTCGCAGCAGCCGCTCGAACAATTACCAGGTCAGGTACGATTTCTGCGGGCTACCTCATCCTCCGCAACCCTAGACCCTAAACCCGAACCCTTTGAACTGCCTGAGATGTTAAGATTGGCTTGTGTAGCATGAGTGAAGTACACGATCGTAAAACAGCACAAATGCAGAGGGGCCTGCACAAGCAATGGTGCTTTCAACCGGGAGCCTGCCATCTCGAAATTTAGGGTTTAGGGTTTAGGGTTTACCCCAAAAGTATGTAGAATAATAGCCGGTTATAGGGTTTGGGCCATCAGTTTACCTATACTTTTGGGGGTCTAGGTATAGACCTTAGCCGGCCTTTCAAACATGTCTCAAAGCTTAAAAGCCCCGACCCAACGGACAGAACTGATCACTGCCTGCACCGACGTCGGCGGCATCTTCTTCGTCCTCGCTTGGATCCTCCGTAACATACGACAGGAAACTGGATGACTAGAACAGGGTTTCCGTAAAGGCTCCATAAAGGGTCCTGCACGGGTTGTGTAGGGCTTGAATATATGGGCTTCAATTAATAATTCGAACAGCATGATGTAGTATGACTTCTAAGCAAAACTGGCCTTAAGGGAAACTGCACTCATTAGTAAGGCATCTATGCTTCGAGAACTCATTCGCTTGGTCCTGCTACTAGAACCATGAAGTTTAATTTAATTATGTATTTACCTAAGCCTCAAGCTCGCATGTAACCCTGCCTCATGTCATCCCGTACTGAGGTCATCTGCTATAGGGACTCAACTGGTCGAAGACACGCGTGGGTGCCAAACGCACTAGTATGTGAAACTGCTGCGTGACAAAATACAGAGCTGACGATGAAATAAGTGTCTACTGTTGAGCTTGGAAGATTCGCAGGGGAGGCAGGGGCGGGGGGTGGGGGTTGTGAATCCTCGTACATACAAGCACAAATCTAGATGCAAGCTTGCACGCACGATGTCGTCATCTGGTATAATTATACATACTGGCTTCTACAGAAATTCACGTCAACCTTACGCCTCAAACCCTACCTCGTTCAGTTGCCCAACTTAGTAGCTGAGTTCATAAGCCTCTTAGTTCTATAGTGGGTAATACTATCCCAAAAAGTGTACACTCAGCTACTAAGCCAACAAACGGCGAGGCACGTTGATGCCGCCGAAGGCTTCCGGCTCCGTCGCCGAAGTTTCAGCGCGAGCCTGGCTGCTTTTTTTAAGGCCCATAAGGATCCTTTAAAGGGTGCTATATAAGGGTTCCTTTAAGGGATCTACATGTTCAGGGTTTAGGGTTCCTTTAAACTTAGTAGCTGAGTTCATAAGCCCCCCAATAACATTATCCCAAAAAGTGTAAAGTGCATCCACTCAGCTACTAAGCTAAGGCCCTCAGGGTCCAAAGAACACCTAAACCTTGGGATCGAGGGTGTAGGGCTCAGCAAGGGATGTTTTCCACAGGCAAGAATCAGGGGTTTAGGGACTAAGGCTTGGGATTTAGGGCTTATGTTTACCTTAACCCTGAAGAACCTACCTTTTAAAATAGGATCCTTGTAATATTTGCTTTCTATAACTTTCCTAAACGTAGGTTATTTAGGGTCCCGAATAGGGTTTTGGAAGGGTAGCTGAAAGGTTTCTCTCTGGGCTGAGTACCAAGGGGCCCACAAAAAGTAAGGTCTCCGGGTTTTAGGAGTTTCGGGTTTAGGGTTTAAGGGCTTGGGGTTTCCGGTTTAGGTTTTAGGATTAAGGTTTAGGAATTTAGGGTTTAGGGTTCAGGGTTTATGGTAGGGTTATGTAAACCGTAAAAGGTCAAAGGTTACCTACCCAGCTTGCAGGACTTCCACATACCACAATGACATTGTGCTGAGTCTTGAACATGTACCCTAAGCCCCGAAACGGCGATTTTTTCACCCTAAGCCCCTAACCCGAAATCCCCAATCCTAAACCCTGTAGACCAAGGCCCCGGAAGGCCCGAATGCCTCAAGCCTCAACCCCAACGAAAAAACCTCCTTCTCTATCCCGCAAGTCTTGTCAGTCCTATCAACTCTGCCCCTATTTTGGTTTTAAGGGTTTTGTGGTTTAGGGATTCGCAACAAAGATGTGCACAAGGTAACAACTGGCCCACGATCCAGGGAGCCGCAGCATGCGCATGGCCAACAAGGTGACAACAACGGTGGAACAGAAAGAGAGGTGTGAAAAAGGTGGAGAAAACATCTGGAACGTGAGTCACCTTTTTTGCACCTTCTGCATTCTGCCGGTTTCGACCTTCACCTTTTCATTCATATATGTCCACGGTTTTTCCAGTCTTTCAATGTTTCAGTAACCCTCAGGGTCGATACAACTGAAACCATAGATTAAGCATTGTATACATCTTGGCCTCAAATGGACAACGACATAGGTACTTTGAGGTTCATGTACATACATGCGCATACTACACATACTACGTAGGAACATGGACCCTCAGGCTTAGGTATCGGATCTTGCTTTTTTTGATGCGCGGAGCTGGGCGCCAGGCAAGGAGCATGTTCGCAAAGCGCGAGACCTGCCCAAGACACCCAAAAACCTACATGGCCCAACACTGAAACCGCCAAACCCAATCAATATCCCAAAGCACAGGACCCTAAGCCCTAACTGAGCGTTTGGGCTTAGGGCAAGTCCGTTGGCAGACCCTAGACGAGTGATAACCTTAAATGTAGGCCGCAGTTTCAACCCTACCAAAGCCCCCAATCAACTGTTGCCATGACTTAAGTGTTGGCAGTTTCGCAGTATTATACATGCGATCCTAAGGAATGCTGATCACATCCTTATTGTTACGTCAGATGAACCAAAGCCCCAACCACTGAAAACCCTTGTAAAAAGGTCCAAAACGTTTAAGACTTTAAGAAGTCCTACAAAACAGCAGCCCGAAGAACAACAAACCCTATCAATGCCGCACAAAACTCTGAAGAAACACCATACAGCCACAATCCGTAGAGAAAGCCCTTGATGACACCCGCACCCCTAAAACTCCACTTAAACTTTATAATGTAGGGGTATACTAGACTACAAATATGATAAGGAAGCTCCAAAAATAGTATGGGTAATTTTTCAGGCCCGTGTACCATAGAAACCTACTATACGTAGTATCCCGTAGACGCCCCTTTTAAAGGAACCCTACTCTTTAGGGAGCCCTAGTCTAATTATTAAGCCTTATAGTGCAACTAATTCATGGTTGGGATGGGATTAAAAGTTTACATGTTAATTCCTTATTGGGATTAAGTATCCATAAAAATGTAAAATGCTACCCGACTATGACAAAGGTAAAGGCTTGCAGACCCAGGCGCCTGTGAGTTGGAGCCTTGGGCATCTGTCTGCATCCGTCGAAGCACTACTTCCATCAGCTCCTCCGAGGTGCTCGGCTTCATTCACAGGTATATATATATATATAACTAGAACTATAACTGTTGAATTATATATATATATATATATATATATATATATGTATATATATATATATATACACATGTATATACTTATATATATATATATATACTTTTATATATATATATATATATATATACACATACATGTACATATATAACCATATATATATATATATATATATACAGATGTATGTTAGGCTTCATGTATATACATACTGTTTTGGAGGGGGTGGTTGGTGGGTGAGTTGGTTAGGGTTGAGGGCGTAGGGTATGCGGTTTGGGCATAGACCTAGGGTTCGTAGTTTATAGGGCTCTACATCTTTTTGTTCACGAAGGTGTGTTACCACTAGGGCTTCAAACAGTGAGGGGGCTAGTGTCTCGCATCTGGCCCAACATGACATGAAGAGCCCTGAACCCTAAGCCCCTAAGCCCTCAACATGACATGAAGAGCCGCGTCAATACATGATTCGATCCTAAAATCGCTTCTCGCTCGAGCTCCTGGGCTCGGAGGAGTTGTGTCTTACTTTGCATGCAAGCAACAGAAACCTGCTATAATTTCGAAATAAAAAAAAGAACAAGTCTGAACAAAGTAAACCCCCAAAACAAACCCGAATCCGTACACACTAAACCCCTAAAGCAACGGTCCGC